CTGTCCATTGTTTTGGCATTGTTACCACCTGCCAGGCTCCAGGTAGCCAGCTCAGTCCTCCCTCCAATCTAACTTTGATGCTGTTGAATGCCAGGTCTGTACCCAATAAAGCCCAGCTAGTACAATATCTTGTTCTGGAAAAGGATGCAGATCTGGCTTGTATAATCGAGGCGTGGATGGGTAGTGAAGGGGGCGTGCCCCTGTCTCTTGCCTGTCTCCCAGTTATGCTGTCCAGCACCAGGGTAGACCGGAGGGTCGGGGGGTTGCCATTGTTTATAAGGACACCCTTGATGTTGTCAGGTTCTCTGCTGTGGCGATGCTGGGCCTAGAGGCCTTCCACATGTCAATTGGGCCAGGATGGTATTGGGATCTTGCTGGCATACCGTGCTCCCCACCTTCCTACTGACTTCATCTCCACAGATTTTTTGGGATCCCTGAGACTGATTGTCTTGGGTGATTTCAACATCCACATGGAGGCGGAGGTTACCAGTCCAGCTCTTGATCTCTTGGAAACCATGGCTTCCTTGGACATGTCCCAACATGTTAATGGCCCCACACACATGGGTGGCCGCCCTTTGGACCTGTTTTTCTCCACTGAGCAGAGAGTGTGGCCTGATGGCGACTGACCTTCGGTTGGTCCCCTTGTTGTGGTCAGACCACCACCTGATAAAGTGCAATCTCATGGTGGCCCTCCCTCCCCGTGGGGAGCAGAGACCTATTTTCATGGTCCGCCCTTGAAGGTACTGGATCCTATTGGATTCCAGCATGCCATGCATGGGATTCTGACTGACCTGGCTGGTGCTCCTGTCGAGGCCCTGGTGGATGGCTGGTATGTTGCCCTTGCCAGGGGCACAATCGTTCCTAAACACTCTCTTCACTGCAGAGTCTAATCAGCACCTTAGTTTAACTAGCAGCTGTGGGCTATGAATCGGAATAGGAGAAGGCTAGAGAGTGTCTGGAGGCAGAACCCGACAGAAAATAACTTAAAAGCTGCCAAGGTTGCATCTGATCTCTACCTTGCTGAGGGAGAGCCTGTAAAAAAAACCCTGCTTTGCTGTCCAGATAAGTGAAGCATCCAATCAGCAGGCAGAACTTTTCTGTATAGTACCCAACCTATCCAGAATTGGCCACAACAATTGGCCTCCATCTAGCATTTCTTGTGGCCAATTTGCAGCATTTTTAAAATCAAAAGTGGAGGCCATCCGCCAGGATCTCGCACCCTATTTGAAAACAGTGGATCGAGCTGAGACATCCAGCGCAGTGCCTTGTCCGTTAAGAATTATTCCGTTTCGACTTCTGGCTTGACGTCGCGACAAGACAGCAGCAGGAGGGCAGAACTCTGTCCCCTGGGCTGAATTCTGACCCGTTTTGGGACACCGTAGGGTGTTGGAACCACCCTGGAGGGGGGTGAATTGGGGGAGAAAGCCTGTTGATCATGGGGGTCGGCGGCCACCCCGGTTCAATCCAGGAAACTCCCTAATCAGCCAGTGGGCAGAAATAAGCAGCTTCGGCTAGCTTCCAAGTCGCTGGCAGCCGTCTGAGAGAAGCAAGGAACAGCACCTGGCATTGCTGTTTTTCCATCAGGTGAGAATCTTTTTACAACTAATTGCCTACATACCCCTACATATGGAAAAAAAAGAATTGCTATCTTATCTCAGTAACTTTTTAAAGCGGCAGAAAATTGGTGAGAGGGATAGCTGAAGAAAGTAACTTTTTAAAATTATACTTTAAGAATATTTACAACCTGGCATTATAAGCTTAAGAGACCTTCTTGCAAATTAAGTGTGGACATTATTTCGACTATCCAGAGCATTTGGAATGATTCCCAGAAGATGTGACCTTGAATATACTGTTGTTGCTTAAGTCTGAAAAACTGTTTATTTCCTCGTGAGCTTCTGGCTGGAATTAACCCTAAAGTGGACTTTTCAAAAACTGTTCCTTGGGTCGAATTTGGTTCAACTTTACATAGCCAAAGCGGAACTCTTGAAATGACTCTGGAAATTTGGAATAT